TCCTCTCTGAAGTGAGATGCAGTGTCACAAATATAGATCTTTATCAGTCCTGTGTCACTCTATATGTGTGTGTTTATATATATATATATATATTTGTACAGACATATCAGCAGGCACATGCATAAACATACTTATGTACGCATACCTGGGCCAAGTTCCAGAAACTCTACGGAAATCAGACTTTGGAATACTTCTTTTAAAAAGATAGCGAATGAACATTTTCTTCGTCTTTTCCCTCTGTGGCCTTCAGAATAGCTGTCACATGTTTGCTTTTGCACGAGGTAAACTCTCAGCCCGGTTGGTGCCGGGTGGGTCTGAACCTGAATGCGAGTCTTAATGTGACCGTGTATATAGCAGAGCAGCTATTCAGGGACGCCCCAAGAGCGTAGAGTGCCTAAACAGTCTTCATTAAAGTCTAGGATGGTTAAAATAACTACTGTCCAGATCGCTGTGGTCCCACCAAGATAGCTTTTATCTCATGCACAGGAATGTAATCTCTGCCAGAGATGTCTCTCAGCAGGCTAATTTTACAAGTATACCCTGTACTTTGTGTAATAGTCTGTGAACATGGACCAATTTATCATCCTACTGACCCTGCAAACGTATCCCCCCACCCCTATTTTTCTGCAGAATCCACAAATCTGTACACAATTTATACCAACCCAAAGGATTCTTTCGCGAATACATGTCAGACATTTTCTTCAGCAGCACAAACTGTTGGCAAGCTCAACAAGAGAATTTCTTTGCAGGTTAAAATTGCACATACATAGGAAGGTGGGCCAGCGTAAATATTGGCTGAGGACGTGACCTCATCACATTTGTCATTAACATAGGCACAATTTTAGAGTGTACTCCTAGCCTGCGGTAAGTAGTACGTGGCTTGTCTGCGGTGACATGGAGTAGATGAGGTTCACCCCGCTTCAGACATTACATCTGCAGGACAGGCTTGCAAATCTGCTGTGACCACCCTGGGCTCCTTGAATAATCAGTGCAGAGAAATGATCGCTTGTAAGTCAGGATTCAGCTCGTCTTAAGCAGATGCCTAAAAGACGACAAAGAAACTGCGCCCTGGAAGTACCTGTTTCTTTGTACGAGCGGTAGAGCGAGGTAGCTCTGCAGCGGGGCCCCTATCTCAGGTGCCTTCAGTTAAGGCGAATCTCACATGGACAGGCTCCCTAGGTAATCTCACTTCCCCTTTCCTCAGCAATATCACTCTTTACAAAGTTTCCTGCTTGTTACAGTTCTGACCCATGGTCAGGAAAATACTTGTCAACATTATCCATGTTTGCTCAAATGAAATAAGAGTTTGTTTTAGCTGTTAGGCTGACCCTCAGTTCACCTCCAAGCAGCCAAGGACAATCCAGTAGCCGGGCTTTAATCATTTGCCAGCTTTCAGAAAGGGAATTTTTTCGATGTGGAGGTGTAAACATTTGAGGACTGCAAAGAAAATACGTGCATGCATTTCAGTCGCTCTCCGTCAGGGGCTGTGGTAATGACTGCAGACGATAGACCAGCGCTCCTGACAAGCTTTATGTTCACGGCTGCGCAAAGGCAAGGCAGAATTCCTCAACATATTTGCAGGTTTTTGGAAGACTTTGACTGGAAGGCTTTTCTCAAGGCGTTGACTGAATCTTCCCAGGCACACACATGTACAACATTTCTTGATATTAATTTCACAGCAGAAGAGTAACTTTAAATTTTGGATCTAATGAAAATTATTATTATTACAAAAGTTAATATTTCCAAAAGTACTTAAGCTACTTGGGAATCCATGTCCTTTAAAACTCACTGAGACTGTCAGCTCCGAGGCTGTGCTCGCTTGAAGAGTGTAGGTGTCTAAGTCCTACTGTTACACGGACATATAAATACTTCCGCGGCTCTGTTGGTTAGAAGCCAAAGTGACTGAGGTGCTTTAGGAATAGGATTTTGGGGTATTTCAAAATCTTTCCTTCTTATAAAAAATACCCCTTCCCCAGCAATTATGCTCCACACAGAACTCATGTTATCTGGAAGGGAAGAGTAAATGCTAATCCTGCTTACCTGAAGCATATCACGGGCTGCTTTTCCTATGAGCATTATTCTCAAGGCTTCTTAGCTTTTCTCCCGATTTAAAATTTTTGTCTGTCCAGTCCAAGA